AAACAAAACAAACACACTGACATCTTAAAGGTTCGTGTCTGTACAACATTGTACATTAAAAATAAATAAACACATAAATCTAGCATCTGAGTGACAAATGTGACAACTAGCCCCGCTACGGAAGGACGCAGATTTTTTCTATACCATTCTGATACGTTTGACGCGGAAAGCTCATAAAACGTTGACGCGTACATTGCAAGCGATGGAATCCCGATGTCGACCAATCAGAGCGCTCGTATTATAATGAGCTCCGCGCGACGCGTCTTCATCAGAACCCAGTCGACCAATGAACGCCCTCCTTTGCGCGACGCGGCACGGACGCGTTCATTCGCAGCAGATGGGTTTGACTCCGTGTTTAATGCGGTTTGGTGAAGGTAGGTTGTTATTTAAACATTTTTTCCCTCATATCTCAATAATAGTAACATATAGAGGGATCACGCGAGCGCTGTCACTGAAACGCAGTTCTTAATTGGTCTGTTTTCTCCGCGTGTCGTCTGTAATATTTCCTCTGATACTGTGTTTGTAGAAACGACATCACGGCTGATGAGAGAGATCTGTATATTAATTAAGGCTGTTTTTTTAAATGATCTTTCACGAAACGCCCTTAAAGTACACAAACAGGTCAGTTGCAGTAAATAATAATATAGATAATAAAAAAAGAATATAAAAAATAAATATTAATAACATTTAAAAATATATATTTTTTTGTATTTGTAATATTAAAAGTTTTAATTATATATGTATATAAGGACACACGTATATACACATTTATAAGGACACACAGTTTTGGCAAGAATCTCTTTTCTGAGTGGTTTAGGCACCATGACAAAGGTCAACACACACTCAGCATGTTCTCATTATATTCATTCTTTTTGAGGGACAGCATCCTGTTGCTCAGCGTAATGGTGACTTTTCCATGAAACCGTGCAAAAATACTGAGCAGCGGGAAACTTTTTGTAGCCATTTCATCCATTACATTTTCCACAGTGGACTCTCTGTTTAGTTAGCCAACTTTTTCTTTAGTTGGTCCTCCAAGCATCTTTCTTGAATGTCTAATATAATGAGCATATGAGCTGCATTTCTCCACAAAACTCACACAGTCTTGTGGAAAGTCTGTCACTAGAGGATTCCCCCTTTTTAAACCAATAGTTCGCCCAGAAATGAAACTTTGCTGAAAACTGACTCGCCACAAGATATACACGGGCTTGTTTAACGTCTTGTGAAGTTAAAAGCTGCATATCTGTAAGAAACAAATCTATCGAGACTTTTCTTTAACTTTGCTTTCAGCTAAAGTATCCATAATCCAATGAATTCATCTGAATCAGGAGAGAAATCTGCACTGATCAAGCACTATTTACAGTACTAGTGAAACGTTTAAAACTTGTTCATGATGGAAGCGTTATGGATTATGAACACGTATTTTGGCCAGAAACATATTAATGATGGATTTGCCTCGTACAACCACACAGCTTCTCAACATGTTAACTGATGGACTGGAGTGCTGTGATTACTTGTAGATCATTGTGATATCAGCTGTTTGGACTCTCGTTCTGACGGCACCCATTCACTGCTGAGGATCCATTGGTGAGCAA